CAATGAGCGTATTTGATTGGGGGGCTGGTTTTCTGAAGTCTGCTATTGATTTAAACATTTATTTTAATCTGTTTCCGTTGAAATCTGTTTGTAAATTGGTGGTTTAATTGCTTTTAAATCTCTTTGTTTGAATCCGAAATATGTAGATATTGTTTACATGATGGGAGGGAATTCTTAGGTTTTCGTTCTTCTTGGGGCGGGATGACATTGCCAAACTCAAATCTTTGTCTTGAATCTGATAGGTTTTCTAGAACAAGCATATCTATTTCCCACTGGTTATTATACTGAGTTTGAATCTGAAGTTGGTTGCAGTCTTATTTGGAGGGATGGTCTATTTCTCCTGAGGTATGGGTTCTTTTTGCACTGTTAGTAATTGTTAACGACTCACTGTTGTCGCGAAAAGGCTGCTTCGCGGCTAGCTGCGTTCTTTGCTGAGCACAGTTTACCGACCTGGAGGTTTCGGCCCCGTATCTGTGCGAGCTGTTAATCGCAACTTGAACAGTTCGCAAATTGCCCATATTCATGTTTGGCAAGCTGAGGGTTTTGGCAGCCGGGATGGCTCCGAAACCGAGATGATGTTGTTGTTGAATTTCTGGAGTGCTTGGAGTACTGTCCATGTCAAGTCTCTGCCGTAGAGAAGAATTGCCATGGCTCCTGCAATGCTGTAACCTAGGTCACAGCTGGCGAAGGGGCTCACCTGTAAGCTATAACAGCTAACTGATTAGCGAGAGTTGGATTATGGCACACGCTATGTTAGCTGATTTGTTCTTACACAAACTTCAACTAACACAACGAGTACTTCACTGTTATACACTTAGTGGAACTGCTGCAAGTACTTCACTGACTAGGCCAGAGCGAGCGATGTTGTGCCACGGCTGTTCGGCGCGACAAATGCCAGCGTTATTGGTGTATCAAGGGTTAAACAGTGTTGTCAGAAGTACGATAATTATAGTGCATTTACGATAATTCTTTACGATGTACAATTTACGAGTATCGAAGAAAAAGTTACGATATACATTCCTTGATGTAACCAATTTGTACTCTCACTATTTTCGTATGATTTCAATTAATTTCAGTAATTCTAAAGGAATTTGATAAAAATCTCTGAAAACATACTAAAGAGAGGACTTTTACAACTTGAGCAGAAAAAGGGAAAAATGTTTATATTAACCTTGTAAAATAGGCTATTTTCTGAAAAATTCTCAAATGAGTTTTGGCGTGTTCATTATATATGAAGCAATGCGATATATCTCTCTTAATTCAGATAAGTAGTAAAATATTTGGAAAAAACTTAATTTCGTAGCTTTTCTCTGCAATCACGTATGTACGTACAACACTCGACGATAAAATCAATGGGGCAAACCAGACTTCAATCCGACCTATAGTTTCGGAAATACACGTAATACAATTTTTTTCCGAAAATCAGATTTTTAGTAAAATATTTGAAAAACAACTTAATTTTGTAGCTTCTCTCTGAAATCACGTATGTGAGTACAACTCTCAAAGAGAAATTCAATAGAGCAAAGCAAACTTCAATCGACCTACAGTTTCGAAAATACACGTAAAACAAAATTGCACCGAAATTCTTAATTTTTATTAAAATATTTAGGAAAAAACTTCTTTCGTAGTTTCTCTATCAAATCACGTTTATGAATAAATCTCGTGACGAGAAATTCAATGGAGCAAACAAGACTTCAATCTGACCTATAGTTTCGAAAATACACGTGAATCAAAATTGAACCTAAATTCAGATTTTAAGTGAAATATTTGAAAAAAACTTAATTTCGTAGCTTTTCATTGGAATCACGTACAACTATCGACTAAAAATTCAATGGAGCAAACCAGACTTCAATCCGACCTATCAATTCGAGAATACACGTAAAACAAAATTGAACTTAAATTCTGATTTTTAGTGAAAATTTGAAAAAATCTTAATTTCGTAGCTTCTCTCTGAAATCACGTTTCTGAATACAACACGTGACGAGAAATTCAATTGAGCAAACAAGACTTCAATCCGACCTACAGTTTTGAATATATACGTAAAACAAAATTGAAGCTAAATTCAGATATTTAGTGATAATTTTGAAAAAAAACTAATATCGTAGCTTGTCTCTGAAATCACGTTTATTAATACAACACGCGACAAGAAATTTAATGGACCAAACCAGACTTCAATCCGACTATTAGTTTCGGAAATACACGTAAAAGAAAATTGATTCCAAATCCCGAAATTTGGTGACAAAATTGCGAAAAATCTATTTTCGTAGTTTCTCTGTAAAATCACTCACGTATGTGAGTACATTTCTTGGCGAGAATTTCAATGAAGCAAACTAGACTTCAATCCGATTATTAGTTTCGGAAATACACCAAAAACAAAATTGAAGCTTAAGCACAATCTTACTAATGAGAACTAAAGAATAGATTTTCTTTCGTCAATGAAAAGAATAAACGAACATCCCATTTTTAAAAAATATGTGAAAATTATTATTTTGATAATATCTGTGCAGTACCTTTTGAATCCTTAATGCTATGTATTTTTAATTTTAAAAATATCTTTAAAAAATAATTAAATTTGTAAACAAAAGTATGATAATTTTACAATATATTTTTTTATAAATGTACGCTAATTCAGTAGGGTAATAATAGATGGTGTAAAACAGTATTCCCTTTTCAACTAATTAGCAACATTATTGCTTATGTTGTGTTCGAGTTCATTCAACTCAACGACACTCGACGTCATTCCTGCTGACAACCACGTGACGATGTTTAGATTATAGGGTAGGTTGTCTTTTGCAAAATTAGACATCGAATGTTTAGGAATATCCTTTTTTGTTGTAATGAACATGCTTATAGGCTTTTGATATGTGTAAAAATTAGGAAAATGACCCCCTTTGACGAATTTTTATTTTTCTTATTTAGGTGTAAATGGTTTTTCAGACGTATTAATTCCTATCATTTTAAATGCCTTTTATCAACATTTATTTATCCCCTGTGGTTACTCAAACTCAGACTTTAAGAAATACGTTTTATTAAAGTAATGAGAGTTATTAGAACGCAAGTGTTCCAATAATCTGTACTTAACAACAATGACACATTTAACAACATCAATAATCCGTATCGTAACAAAAAGAAAACATTCTGACACATGTAAGCCAATAATCCACGGTCTCTCTCTATTATAGTAATATTATATTTAAGTAGTCTGTAACATTTTGGACAACAGAGACAAATTTTAAAGAATTTCTTCACTAGAATGTTTAAAAAGTGGGTAAAACGTACGATTTTCATACCATTATATCTTCATTATATATCAACACAATGTTCCTCTGGTGGATAATTATCTTACCGGTATCGAACCTCAATTATCTTGTGTACACTGAACGTGGCATTTATCTAGACTCCCGTATTCAGCCTCTATCTATATAGAGTGTCCTGAGAGGAAACGTGGAAACTTCGCAAATATGCTCTTACGACAGTTTTAAGGATATTTTGTGTAATACACTACGAGGATATTCGGATTGGTTGAGCCGAAATATACACTAGAAAAATTGATCTCCAGGCAAAAATTTGTATTGCAGAAGCATATAAACCATCCAGAAACATGTAAATTGTTTGTTATTTCCAAAATAAATGAATATATTTGTTTCAAAAGAAACATTAAATGACAAATAAAAAACAGTCCAATTGCGTATATTGGGTGCTTATTACTTTCCCATTGTACGTACGTATATACGGAGTAATATACGTAGTATAGGGAAAGTTACGTATTGCTGCGGAAAATCAGTTTCAAGATTTCAAAGGAAATACATGTTTTGGGGTTCCCTGATACCGAAAAAACCTATTTCTGTCCGTCTGTCCGCCCGTCTGTGAACATCACTAGCGAGAGCGTAGGCTTCCGCGGCCGGAGTCAGTATTTACTAGGCTGTCCGGGTGACGCCGCGACCATGGCCATAATGCCTGAAGAAGGTCGCAGAATGGCGACCGAAACCTCGGCACCTTCGCCATGGACGCGGCGTCACCCGGACAGCCTAGTAAATAAGAACATCACTAGCGCCTCAACTGAGCGTAGGATTTTTTCCAAATTGAAGAAACACCCGTCCATCTGCTTCGAGTCGATGCTTTAAGATTTTTAAAAAACGTTCTTTAAAATTTGGGGGTACTTTACATAAAGCCTCAGAGACATTTTTAAAATTTTAAAAAAACGTCTCCAATTTTTTTCTTTAAATTTCTTGTAATTCTCTTGTTCTACAACTACAAAATTGAAGATAGAGATTTCTCCTTCAAATGAAATTTGTTATCCATATTTAGTACTTTGCAAGCAATGTGTGTAATTTTAAAAAAATTTCAAATAAAAATATTTTTATTTGAGATTTACGAAATTTCACAGTCAAGATTCCTGGGTGCGAAAAGAGCAGTCCGCCTGTAAGAGAGACTTGTTAGGTAATTGCTAATATATTTCACATTGTTGTCATACACAATAAAGAAAAGATTGATTATGTAAAATATAACACAAAATGAAATAAAGAATTCGTAATTTAAACATGTACCTTCATCAAGACAGAAAGAAAATAAACACGAAATAAAGTAATAAGTAGTCAATAATATAAACAAATCTCGTTTGTATGATACAACCGACCAGGCGTTCACTTTCCTATCACCCATCCTTTGTGGTATTTAGAGTGCCCTTTTATTCAATTCCTCTGCTACAGCTTGCATGTACGCCCCTTTCTGAATTTGGAGATGAAATGAGAGCAGAGTCTGGGGAAGTTGCCTGTGCTCGCAGGAGCCTCATGATCTTCCTTATCAACAGAACACGATGAAGTAACGTCATTGCACAACTACCCTTCAAGCGAAAGTGTGCTGAGCAGAAATCACAGTCGAACAAAACCTCGAGGAGGCGCTTCTACCCTGCACATCCAACTCTTTCTGCCGATATTTCTATCATATTATTTCTGCACTCTTGTAATGAGCTTTCCTCTAACACCGTTCTCTTATTTCAGGAATACAAACATGGGCTTGGCATCGTACATTCTGTCCTACGGAGTAGCGCTTTTAGGCGTCGCAATTGTTGCCGTCTACTTTCATTTCACGCGTAACTTTGGCCACTGGAAGAGAAAAGGCATCAAGGAGCTCAGACCCCTTCCCTTCGTTGGAAACATGAAAGATGTCGCCTTCATGAAGAAGAGCATTGGCATGGTGGCTTCTGCAATCTACGAGCAGCACAAGAAGGAACCGTTCATTGGCATATACGCGTTCGACGAACCAGTGCTCCAAGTCCACGACTTGGACCTCGTGAAAGCCGTGCTCGTCAAGGACTTTCAGTACTTCCCCGACAGGAGTGTTGAAGCTGACGAAGAACTAGACCCGGTGATTGCTCGAGGGCTGTTTGTGCAAACGGGAGAGCGCTGGAAGCGCACAAGAAACGCCATCACACCGAGCTTTACGTCGGGTAAAATGAAACGGATGTATGATATTGTAACTCAATGCGGAAAACTCCGCCTGTTGGGCTTAGAAAAGGAGAAATTGGCAGGTAAAGTATGTTTTCTACTTCCTATATAAGACAGAAAATAGTACAATGTATTGTTGTACAAACTTACCCTTCATTAAAATACTCTTTCTGAGAGGATACCAATTTTATTTAATGTCTCTCCGTTTGCGAACAATAGTGCCTAAACTTTACAAATAATTGTTTCCAAAATGAAAATTTCCCGATCAATCTCGCTTAAATCAAAATTCCAACAAATTTGAATAGGATTTTTTTAATGATACTTTACGTAAAACCTCAAGAAAATTTGAAAATTTTCTCATAAATTCCGATAATTTTAGGTGTTTTTGGATAATAAAATTTAACAAACCATTTGTTTCAACATTACACCCACATATACGTTTAAAATCCCTGTCCATGACTCCATTCAGTCACAATATTCTTTAAGTCTCTCCGTAAAGTTCCTTTCACAGAAAAAATAATTAAATAAATTTATCATTGATTTATTCATTTTGTGCGCACTTTTACAAATCAGATACCATATGTTCGTAACATCACATCGTTCTCCTGATCTCACTCTCTTAACGGTCATCACCTCAAGTCTTTTCGTAGGATAGAAAGCACAGAAAAACTCAGAAACGCCCGCTGCATCACGCGCGCCCAAGCAGGACTATGGACGTTAACTAAGATATCGGCGCTACAACAGCACGTAATTTCTCTTATTAGTAACCGTTCCGTAATGCACTCCTGCAATTTCTGTCCATACTAACACATTTCAGCCATCACTTGTAACACTCATTACCAATCGTAACGCATTAAGTGCTTTCAAATTCTTTTAAAGGAGTTATATCACCATCAGTGAGACAATCCAAAACTGCATTCCATGCAGTATCGCCAAACAATAAGAAGTTTAGTTAAATCAAACTAATTTGTATATTTTTTGAAAAATCAATATATGTAAATAGCATTTATGTATATTTATTCAATGCATATGGCACTATCAGTAAAAAACTTGAATCTTTTTTCAGAAAACTTAGTTTTTAAAATTTTTAATATTGCCCTCATTCCATTTACATTTACATATTATATAATATTAATTCACATTTACATAATATATTTTTTTTTAAAAATCTTACTTTTATATAAAAGTAATTGTTGATTTTTTTAAAATTAATTTGATGCATTTTTCAGGAAAGCCAATTGTAGTGTACGAATTTGTGGCTCGCCACACTATCGATGTAATTGCTACTTGCGCATTCGGCATTAAGGGCAAAAATTTGGAAGATCCCAAAGCAGAATTTCGCCGAATTCTGCGAGCAGTATTCGAGTTATCTCCTCTGCAAGCAATTGCCATGGCAACAGCTTTCCTTGCCCCCAAACTGAAAAATAAATTACGTCTCAAAATACTCACTCCCGAAGTGGAAAGTTTTGTATGTAGCACCATCCACCAAGCTATAAGAGAGAGAGAAAATAGCAGTGTTCAGCGAAATGATCTACTGGACAGCTTGATTCAACTTATGAAATATGGCACAATTTTTGAAGGAGAGGCAAATGGAGAGAAGCAAACACCTAAAGAAATGGGTAAGTACAAAAGAAAATTGTACATGACTGATCTACAGTAATAATTTAGGTAAATGATACTACAAAAACACTATTGATTTTTCAGGTATTTGAAATAAGGTAAAGTTTATTAAGTTTAATGAAATATATTATTAAAAAGTTAATATTTCTATCTATTACTTGTATCATGCTGAAGGACTGTATTTCAATTGTAATCAGAAAGTATATTTACTTGGTATTCTGGCGGATTACCCGGGTATTTATTTACTGTTAACATTTAACTCTTCGACATTTTATCTATTTATTTACATCATTCATTACCGTATTTTATATACCGAGGTCTATCCATCTTGAGAAATTTGTATTTGTGGGTTGACAGGACCGTTCATACGGATTAGCAGTTCCGAAAATCTACGTAAGAAATATTTATTTATTTACTCTCGGTTCGGGCATTTTTCTTATCATTTTCATAAATAATAATACCAGTTTTTCGAAATCAATTGAACATAATTTATAACTCTTGAGTTTCAAAGAAACAAAAAACCCATAGCACTTTTCATAACAATCACAACAAAACCATAATAATAATAACCCTGTTACCCGTTTAAATATTCCCATTTACTCTTCCCTAACATACATGACCATTTACCCCTTACTATATATGTATGTACCTGGCGCGACAGCCCGTGAACGGGCTCAGGCCTACCGGCGCCGTCCCTGCCTCGCGGCCGGGGGTCAAGGTAGCAGTAGACAGACCCCGCGTCGAATTCCGCTCTTCTCAACCTGAGAAGTGGATTTTCTCGTCGTCACACAGCAACATACACTGAGACATTACAAGGAAACCTCACATATAGTCTTGGCTCGGTCGGGAATCGAACCCGGGGCGGCGTAATGGAGAGCGAGCACGCTGAGCTAGTCACGAGCACACCCTTTACTGACCTAATTGAAAAATTATTCAAGTCTACTAGACTTGATCTACTTACACTACTCGTGTTAATGTCCCCTTTTTATCGCTTTCCTGTTTGGCGTCCGCCATCCTCTTGACGATCGATTCTTGCGTACTTTTAGTAGTTTAACAAATAGCCACGAAAATTTCTCTCGTGTCCATTTGATATCATAATCCCCACAAATTTCACTATTATCCCGTCTATTAGTCACACTGCCCTTCCCTTAAATCTAATTATTTATAATTCGCCATTAATATTCCTCTTTGTTGAAGTTGTTTATCTATGTATTTTATACGTAACTTTATTACTTTTCATTTACATTGTGATGAGTCATGACAGTATGTACAAGAAACACTCAATTTCTAATCGTTTTTAAACATGATTGTAGGAAGATTTTTTAAATATTTTTCCTTTTTCTTAACAAACATCATATTTCCGTAAATTGATAATTTTTCTGCATATTTTGCTTAAAATATTATTCGTTGTTTAGGTACCTAGTGGACCCGGCAATGCTTTCCTATTGCTATATATTACACTTCAACGCCTATTGGTCTCGTGATTGTTATCATATTTTACGCTACGCTCTGCAAACATTTTAACAGATGAAAGACTGTCGCGAGTATGGGTTTGTTCTATGTCCTGCTTTGGACGTAGTTGGCAAGTATCCTATTGTTAAAACTGTCTCCTTCATATTTGGGCGTGTATTCGCTGTAACACTAAAATTGATTTACTTATCCGAGAAAACGTTCAAGTAATAATTCCGACTGATATTTTACAAACGCAGGGTCAGAATATGAAGCGAATATGTTCTTAAAACTTAAGGGGCGGTGGGTTGCGTAGAGCTTCTGTTCAGGGTGCTTGAGGCTATGGGAATGCTCGTCTCTTCATCGTCACCCACACTACAGCACCGACGTCGCGTCACGGACCACGTGGTCAGCAATGCACCCGGCTTCGCGCAGGCCGACAATCCGACCCCTGTCGAACTAGTCCAATTGCTTGAAGGACGAACGAGAGCGACGCCGTGGCATACCTAAGTCCAGACTAGACCTTATCGCAGTGGACAGCGTCTTTTAAAGCCACGGAGTAGATGGCGCGTCTGGGCCATTTCGTCACCGGGCATCAGTCGTCCGTGAAATGTTTATCACGGTTTCTACGACGCATTCCCTAGGTCCCTTATCGCCTGTTTGATTGCTCGTACCCTTCCCGGCTGAGTAATACTTTTTCCCGCCAGTGTAATAATCATATTCTTTTTTTCCAAACGTTTCATCAACATACGTTTGACCTCTTCAGAGAACTTACGTTTGTAATGTAGAAAAATTTATACTTTAAGACTTCAATTTAGAAAATTTATTTGGATATGAATTTGGAAGAACTGTAAAACAGATTATCACGGTAGTACTTGATGGTGCAACAAATAGTAAACGGAATCGTATGTTGACTATTCAATTTTCAATCATCTTGCATTCGCCGTCCTTTTGCGTATCTTTCCATGATAACGGTGTAATGTTCTAATCTCACTCTAAACCGAGCATTTTAATTTTATTCCTAGATGAGTTTTTGTTCGTAGCACCAAATGTACAGTTTAATATTACTTCATTATAGGTTTCGACACATATTTTAGTCTTATGTCATCAATTACATTATTGTGTTATAAATGTCCCCAACTATGTACACATTAAGTTGAATTTCTTTTCCAGCTTTTAATGAACTGGATGTGTGTGGTCAATCATTTGCGTTTTTAACCGCGGGCTACGAGACTTCAGCCACTACAATCAGCTACGCTCTCTTCGAGATTGCCCAGAACAAAGACGTGCAAGACAAACTACGCAAGGAGCTTCAGAACGCAACGAGCGACGGGGACTTCTCCTACGAGACACTCCATGGATTGAAGTATCTGGACATGGTGATGCAAGGTATATTATTTCGCGTAATTTAATAGTCAACATTATGATTCGTTATTTAAGAAATAAGAACCAGGTGAATCCTGAAGAAATGTTTATATGGTAATCATAATCGTCTTGCTCTGGTGTGCGGCTGGAACATCTCTGTACAGATTGTGAACCTGTCAAACACCGTTGCACGATGGTGGCAAAAGCGACGCCCTCTCGAGATGCAGGGGCACTTTTCAATTAACATTGCAGAAATCCACACCTAACGAATTTGTTTCAAACCACTCCTTTTTATTTATATAGTAATTATATTTAGTATAGTTATATAGTTATTATATTTAACTTAGTAAATATATAGTTATATATTTAGTATAGTTATAGTTATTAGTATACAATAATATACAATTGTAGTATATTATTAGTACAATACAATAAATATACAATTGTAGTATATTTATTTATATAGTATTTATATAGATTCCGACAGAAGACATGACAACCACTTTTTTTTTCTAAAAGAAAAATTACCGAATTTCACAATTCCGTTTGAAGCGTGAAATAAATTCTGCAGTAGATGGAAAGTTTTTCTGAGCACAAGCAGCATTCCGTGATCCAAAATACATGTGACGAGATGTGTGTGAGGGTGCGGATGGACGTGGCACGTGCGGTAATCAAGCATCTGCCTAATCGGGCTTCTAGAATGTGTTCACATCAACATCTGGCTCTTCGAGTTTCTCTATTAGCACAAAGATATTGTATGTTAAAAGCTCGTATATGCAAAAATGCTTTGCAACATGAAAGGAATACTGTCATTTCAAATGCCCTGATGAATAAGAGAAACCCAATTTAGGTGTGTCGTTAAGTGTCCATGCACTTGCTTTATACCTTGTCCTTTCATGTGTATTGTGTACATTTCACATTTTCCACCAGTGCTCTTATTCTCACAAAAAATAGTTACCATGTCTTATGCCCCAACCCTCCTAGATACGGAGGAAATTAATTATTATTTATTATCATGCAATTATCTACAAAAAGCGCTTTCTAGACTTTCTTGACTTCTTTGATATAAACTCAGTAAACAAATGTATAATATAGAGCAAGTACAAATATGACACTAAATTTACATTCTCGAACACCAATGTCTTTCACACTTGATACAAATACTTCAAATTAACAGTTTTACTGTTATTGGAATTATATTAAGATAAGAATAGGTTATTACAGCGTATTAAAATGAACTGTTCTTTTGCGTGTTATTTAAAATGGATTTCAGAATTTTTTAAAGAGTAAACAACTGCAAATAGTATTTGCAACTTGATTGAACCCAATACAAACGAAGTAGAGATATCATGGCACTGACTTTTGCTCCAATCTTGCTACCAAACAACTTGATACGACTTGAAAAAAGGGCGTGTTGTATATGTGAGCTTTGATTATGTTTAAGATAACATTGTAAATAATATGATTATTTGGCATTACAGTTTCTAAAGAATTCTTTCGTATATTTCTGCCTTGCAAAAAATTCCATTGAGTGTATTCAATAAAAGTTAGTAAAATAGTTCTTATTGGGATAATGTGAACACCACTTGTGTATATTTTTATATTATGGTTGCTTAGGGCTGAATGTATGTATATTAAGTGTTTTTCATTTTTAACATGAAATTTCTTTGAACCCCTGAAATTATGAAAATTGGCAATTGACTGGCCTATAACTAAAGTGGTGTGAATGTGGTCTATGAAACATTTTGACTAAAATTCAGGTTATGGTAAATTTGATCTAAACAGGTGAGCATCTATACATTCTAACACATAACATAATATCTTCTATGTGGCATTTGTTGTTGTAAGTGCCGTATAATAAAAGTATCACTTTAGTATTGATAGGTGGTATTAAGTTATGTAAGTAACATTTTACTATTCGCACCCTATATTACTTTAGTTCCAAGCTAGCCAACTGCATTTTGAAACCACCATAACTGCTGTAGTTTTCAATGTGAAGCCGTTCTTCAAGACCAAATGTTGACAAAATATTTACATTTTATGTAAATAAAACAATGAAAAGTATTTATTTTGACATTAATGTACATTACTGCACACCCTCAGGGAAGTATTGTGCCAATCTACCCCATACTAGTGTCACCCCCTCATAGGTCTGTGTCAACCAATCCCACTTCACTTGACACTTGACTTAATAACTCTAAAAATTAGACATTCGTAAATAAAATATACTACAAGAAAGCCTAATAAATGTAGTTTCTATTAATAAATCAAAATTGTCCAAATCAAATGGAAGTGGCATAACCAAATTCGGTCGCGACTCGTCGTTTTCTAAATGGGGAAGCCTGCATTGCATTGCACTGCATTTGTAAACAGAATCTCATCCGACACAGGCACAAGGGACTAGTGCTCCTACCGCGTATTGCGAAAACTAGTTGGTGCCCAATGCTACTCGCTGAGCTGCGTAGTAACGCAGGTAACATTGAAAATAATGGGAAGGAATTTTGGAACTCCAGAAAACGTGCGCAGTTGATCTTCTCCTCCATACGTTACGTACAGTTTTTACTGTTTTTACTAAGTAAATCTCAATGCTATCTGGTGAACACACCCTTTTTCAGACTCTGATAACCTGTGCAATGAATGCGTGACGTCATAGGCCTTCTGGCGGAATGAAGTGGGAGCCTAACGCTTTCTCTTCCTTGCCAATAGCTTCAAATGCGGTACGGTGGGGCGGTATCGAACTGACAGAGAAAAAAAATGTATGTAATTGATACATAATAGATCTAAGAAATCCATTTTTAATAAATAAATACATTTAGAATGAAAATGTTTTGAAATTTCTTTTGGGGAGCGATTTCTATAAGAGAAGATCTGCCTTACAGCCTTTAATGACGAGACGCGCCTGAACATATTAAAAACCAGAAACTGGTGCCGACCAGCTCCACTTTGGGTTGTGATTAAGGTTTTACACCAACATTTTATACGATTCTTGTTTGTGCATACGCTGCTGTCTTTTGGTGCGGGTAATTCTGTCAGCTGTAGATGCCGATGTCCAAAACGACACAGGTTACATTTAAAACTGGTAGTGCTCCACTTTATCGCAATATTATAAAGTTATCTTTATGTAATATTAAGTCTTAATTTCTCCCTTTCTTATTCTTCAAATATTACTTTATCCTGTCCAAATAAAGGAAGTGTAAAAAAGATATTTTATTCAAAATTTAAAGAAAATATGTTTCTAGCATTGAATTCAGTGTATTCACGAACATATCCTATGTGTATTTAACTCTTAAATATTCTGCGTAAGCTCTATGCGAGAAAGTATAATAATGAAAAGTTAATAAATAAGATCCACCTGGCGCGAATGCACCGGCAACGGTGGTGAATGAAACAAAGCCTCATAATGGTTCCATGTTAATGTTCAACAAAGAAAAGAATTCAAAAGAATTTCACATTTCATTATCTTATCTTGTTGCTTTCAACAATGAATGAATTCTCAAATACGCATTGCTATATTGCTTCCCATGGCAGCATACAGTGACAATATAAAATTAAAGTTAAAATGTTCGTACAAATTTATGGAATTCAATTTTTACTTTCCTGTATATGTACGTATACACGTAGTTCAGGGAAAGTTATGTAATGCTGCGGAAAATCGATTTCGAGATTTCAACGGAAATACTAGTTTTGGGGCCCCCTGATACCAAAAAAGTGTTTGTCCACCCGTCTGTCAGTTCGTCTGTCCGTCTGTGAACACCACTAGCGCCTGAGCCATACATATGATATTTCCAAAATCGATATCCCTCGGTCGATCTGCCTCCACTGGAGGTGCAGCGATTTTGAAAAAGTCCTTTAAAAAGTTTGGTACTTTACATGAAACACTTAAGACATTTTCAACATTTTCTCAAAAATGGCTCCAAATTGTTTCTTTTAATTTGTTAAAAGAATATTGTAAAATAAACTTATAATAATGGTAGCAAAGGTCGAATTTTCACTGTTAACTTTGAATTTTTTATGACTGCAAAAAACTATTTTTTTTTCGATGTCTTCCTTCAACTACAAAATTGAAGATGGAGATATTTCCTTCAAATGAAATTTGTTCATCGTTGATTCTTTCAAGAAGGTCATGTGGATTGTTTTGAAAAATTTAGTATTTTTCGCATTCCATTGCGAACAATATGAGGAATATAAAAAAACTATAACAAGATTTGCTCAAAAACGACTCTAGTAATTTTCTTCCAAGGTTTAGTAACGATAGTGATAACTCTATAAGATGGCATTAACTCTATGTTTCTCTATTCTTTTGATGTTTTTTTTTAATTACAAAAATTTCAATTATTTGACTTGCTTCTCCCGTCGTTAACACTGACATTAGCGGCAATTTGTTCACATTATTGTATTTAATTCAACTGTTTAATATGACATAATATTCATTTTGGAGTATTCTTAGAATTTATGCGCTAGTGGTGTTCACAGATGAACGGACGCACAGACAGATGGGCGGACATTTAAAAAAACACTTTTTTCGTATCAGGGGCTCCAAAACGTACTTCCGTAGAAATCTCGAAATACTCGAAAAATAAATTCCAAAGAAATCTTGATTTCCCGCATTATTACATAACTTCCTGTATAATACTCACATTACTCCGTAAATACGTACGCATACGAAAAAGTAAATATGTTAATAAAATAAGTATTAATTCTTTCTGTTTCAGAGACATTGCGCAAATATCCTCCACTTCCGTTCCTCGACAGGAAGTGTAGCAAAGCGTACACTCTGCCTGGTACGGATGTTACGTTGGAAGCAGGATCTCGCGTAATGGTGCCACTCCACGCGTTGCAAATGGACCCACAATATCATCCCAATCCCAAAAAGTTTGATCCAGAAAGATTCTCCGAAGAAAACAAGAAGAACATCATCAACTACACACATATGCCCTTCGGCGAAGGACCCAGAAACTGCGTCGGTAAGTGTATGCGCAGAAAAAATATCGTATGGCACTTTCCAATTAGGCGACGCACCGTGCACGGCTGCGGTTCCCGTGATGAAACGAACACACGGGCACCCAAAGTTCTGTTTCGTTTGATTCTGTCTGTTCCGTTCGTTTTATATCAGCTGAAGAGTGAAGGCAGAATGCGAATATATGTAGTTGGAATTTACAGTAACATTCGAATTATCTCGTGGCAATACCCGAATGTAAGCCCGAAATCGTCCGAATATTCCCATAATCCCACAGCTCATTTCACTTTCTCCTATACGAAATGCGTATATACTGAGTAATGTTCGTAGTACAGAGAAGTTACGTAATGCTGCGGAAATACACGTTTGGAGTCTCCTGATACCGAAAAAGTGTTTTTCAACATTTGCGAGAAGCAGCAGTAAGACCGACTACATGTATTGCAGGTGGCCGTGACTCTCCAACTGAGTACTGACAGAACCGAACGAAATAGATCTGCGACCGACAGCCGATGTTTTGAAACGCCGTCGAAAGAGATCGATCCGCTTCACATTCATTATTTCCGTTTATCAGCACGTGTTTGAACGAACCAAGCACGTTGAACGAAAACTTCAGATGTCGGGTGACCAACATTTTTACCAAAATCGGCTCCATAGTGAATGCCGCCTTATCCTTACATTGTTCTTCCTTTGTTGTTCAAAGGAAAAGTGTTTTTTCAAATACACTTAAATAAATGCAATCAGATTAATTGTAACTCTCTTTAAAAATGTGCTAATTAAAAACAATTGTTTCAGGAATGCGGTTTGCCTTAATGCAAGTGAAATCTGCCCTAGCTCACCTTCTGATGAAGTATTCAGTTGAGCCGTGCGAAACAACACCCCGAGAAATCAAGTTCAACCCGCAAACATTTTTGCTGCAGCCAAAAGAGAATTTTCAGCTCATTTTCAACCCGCTGCCATGACCACATATGAATTTTTAATATAATCTCTCTCTCTCAGTTGTGCAACAAGTAATTTTCTAATAAGGGAGCTAGAACAGTATTCTTCACCCGACTTCTCTTAGCAAGAATTTTACATTTATCCTCATGAATTTCTTTGCTTATTTTTAATTATTTCTACAAAAAATTGAATTGAGATGTTGGACGACTTATGTTGCTTTAGGAAATTAGTAAAAACTATACTCTATAAAGTGTATAATCTGCTTCTGGGGGAGCGGAATGTGTCGCATGTTCGGTGGTATAGCGGTTAGTTGTAAAGTGTATTTCACCTACGTTCGAGAGTTCACATCCTCTCGAAACCGTGAATTTTTAAGGGTGAAAGAAGTCCTTCGACGGGGAAGTAAAGCCGGTTGTATCATGTTGTATTTTACCACATGCAAAAGAACCTCTAACCAAAATAATCCTCTGGGCACAATTCAATTAACTTGTTTCGACGCCCGAGTAAAGCCTTCTTTCTCTGCTAGATGGAGAAAAGAGCGTGGCGAAATTTGCGGGCCCAGGTAGAAGAGTAGGCCGAACGGCCTGAGCTTCACCACATAAAATAAGGCATGTATGAATTAATGAATAATTTAGTGAATGAATGAAGTCTCAAGAACCACCTGCAGTGTGTCTCAGCCCCTTCTATTATCTATTCAGCGTGTTGCTAATATAACTTCTAGTTTATTGCATAGCCTTGTCAATAAATGTGGAAAAGTTGAGAAAAGTGTCCTCAGTGAACATCAATTGATTCATCATGTCCCACACAACTCTGGTTGACAAATGCTTTAGTTCCTTCGCTCTGCTGTACTTCTCATTTGGCTGCCTGAGTGAACTGCCTACATCAGTGCTTGCCAACTCAATGCTCTGTGACGTCACAACAATCTGCTCTGCTGCTCCAAGCCGAGCCGCGGGGCAAAGGAAGTGCCCGACGCGGCGGCGGGCAAACAGTGTTCGCTCGATAATTATGCTTTTAAATCGTAATAAATATTTAAATGTTAATGATTCAATAAAATATAAAAAAAATTGAACATAGATTATTACATTAGTCAAAGCAAAATCCCACTCCAATCCGACCAATAACCAGAACCTGAAAAGCCACTTCCATTCTTCCAATACATAACATTTTTGGAGAAGACAGTCCATTCTAATGCAATAATATTTTATACAGTGTTATCTATACTAATAAAAGTTAACTCAACGACATGTAATCGATAGCGATTGAGCAAAAAAGAGTGTATGAATAGATATTTTACAGGGTTTTTTTCAGGATGTGACACAGTGCACTTGAAAAGTTTGGTAAAGATTAATACAACACAATAAATGATTTAAGTAATATTCTGGCAGATGCACCACTTTCATTATTTTTCGCCTGTCACTCAGAGACAGGTTCCCATTATATTCCGCCAGCAGAGGTGCGGTATAACCGTGTGCTCGATCTAAACGAAAGTTGGCACATCGACGTGTTTTTCCACGGAGGTTTTTGTGTTATAAGTTTTGTTGTAACTCTACTAAATGGTGAACTTGGCTGTCGGGATGATGCCGCGTCGAAGGCTGTTACCCATGATCTTGGCCGTCCGGGTGACGTTGCGTTGTAAGCTGTGTTACCATGATCTTGGCTGTCCGGGTGACGCCGCGTCGAAGGCTGTGTTGCCAATGATCTTGGCTGTCCGGGTGACGCAGCGTCCAAGTTTGTGTTGCCTTCGTCGTTGCTTCATTGTTGCTGGGCGTTGCCATGTGTTGCAGGGCAAGGTCGAGGAGGACAGAACTGGCGCCGCGAGAGGGGGAGAGATAGAGAAACGTAGACTTAGATAGAGACGCAGGGAGACAAAGAGAGAATCAAATAGAGAAAATAACAGAGACAGGAACAGAGAGAGATAGAGACAGATGCAGAGAGAGAAACAGACAGGGAGTCAGAAAAAACAATGACAGAGGCAAAGGAAGGGAGAAAGATATGGGAGGAGGAAGAGGGAGGGGAGGGCAATGGAGAGCAGGACAAAGTCTGCTGATATAACATAATAGTTTTATTTCGTCTCGAACCAATAATTAATGTTATGAAATAGATACTTGGGAGAAGTCACGTGGGATTATTTGGACTCCAGGCTTGATTATTTTATGCACACTTCAGTTCGAGAATGTTGTAAATCCTAGTGATTTTCAGTACCTTTTCCATACTCCATCTGCAAAATCCTTTACTCATATCATTATTGCCGGCTATCTGTTAATTCTCAGACATTATTTTCATCTCGCGGATCCCTTTGCGATGCAAAGCTGCGTAATGCCTCTCTAGGTTCAAATTTCGTAGTCAGGCGCCCGATTACATTTCTTCATCTTTTTACGTTAATACGTGCGAGAAAGTAAAAATTGAACTTGTTAATTATTGCAGATCACTTGATTGTTCATCAAGGTACTGTAGCGGTACAGAATTATTCAGATAAATTAAATTGAGTAAAGCAGACATAAGAAATTTTGTACTGAAGAAAAAACATACGGCGTCACGCGCGCAGCCCCTTTTTTGCAACAGCCACGGTCCCCTGACATATTTCGAAGGTTTATGACACCCCACCCAACAACCGAACAAAGAGGTAAACTGTAAAAGCGCCCAGCGG